CCAATCTCAAACAAACACACCGACCTTCTCTGTCCTGTGTTCTCATCTTAAATACAAACCTGGACCAACAATAGTCTCATGAATGGTCAATAACAGGACAAGGGTCAATAACAGGACAAGGATCAATAACAGGACAAGGATCAATAACAGGACAAGGATCAATAACAGGACAAGGATCAATAACAGGACAAGGATCAATAACAGGACAAGGATCAAACAGGACAAGGATCAATAACAGGACAAGGATCAATAACAGGACAAGGATCAATAACAGGACAAGGATCAATAACAGGACAAGGGTCAATAACAGGACAAGGATCAATAACAGGACAAGGATCAAACAGGACAAGGATCAATAACAGGACAAGGATCAATAACAGGACAAGGATCAATAACAGGACAAGGATCAATAACAGGACAAGGGTCAATAACAGGACAAGGGTCAATAACAGGACAAGGATCAAACAGGACAAGGATCAATAACAGGACAAGGATCAATAACAGGACAAGGATCAAACAGGACAAGGATCAATAACAGGACAAGGGTCAATAACAGGACAAGGATCAATAACAGGACAAGGATCAATAACAGGACAAGGATCAATAACAGGACAAGGATCAATAACAGGACAAGGATCAATAACAGGACAAGGATCAATAACAGGACAAGGATCAATAACAGGACAAGGATCAATAACAGGACAAGGGTCAATAACAGGACAAGGGTCAATAACAGGACAAGGATCAATAACAGGACAAGGATCAAACAGGACAAGGATCAATAACAGGACAAGGATCAATAACAGGACAAGGGTCAATAACAGGACAAGGATCAATAACAGGACAAGGGTCAATAACAGGACAAGGGTCAATAACAGGACAAGGATCAAACAGGACAAGGATCAATAACAGGACAAGGATCAATAACAGGACAAGGATCAATAACAGGACAAGGATCAAACAGGACAAGGATCAATAACAGGACAAGGGTCAATAACAGGACAAGGATCAATAACAGGACAAGGATCAATAACAGGACAAGGATCAATAACAGGACAAGGATCAATAACAGGACAAGGATCAATAACAGGACAAGGATCAATAACAGGACAAGGATCAATAACAGGACAAGGATCAATAACAGGACAAGGATCAATAACAGGACAAGGGTCAATAACAGGACAAGGGTCAATAACAGGACAAGGATCAATAACAGGACAAGGATCAAACAGGACAAGGATCAAACAGGACAAGGATCAATAACAGGACAAGGGTCAATAACAGGACAAGGATCAATAACAGGACAAGGGTCAATAACAGGACAAGGGTCAATAACAGGACAAGGATCAAACAGGACAAGGATCAATAACAGGACAAGGATCAATAACAGGACAAGGATCAATAACAGGACAAGGATCAAACAAGACAAGGATCAATAACAGGACAAGGATCAATAACAGGACAAGGATCAATAACAGGACAAGGATCAATAACAGGACAAGGGTCAATAACAGGACAAGGGTCAATAACAGGACAAGGATCAATAACAGGACAAGGATCAATAACAGGACAAGGATCAATAACAGGACAAGGATCAAACAGGACAAGGATCAATAACAGGACAAGGATCAATAACAGGACAAGGATCAATAACAGGACAAGGATCAATAACAGGACAAGGGTCAATAACAGGACAAGGGTCAATAACAGGACAAGGATCAAACAGGACAAGGATCAATAACAGGACAAGGATCAATAACAGGACAAGGATCAATAACAGGACAAGGATCAAACAGGACAAGGATCAATAACAGGACAAGGATCAATAACAGGACAAGGATCAATAACAGGACAAGGATCAATAACAGGACAAGGGTCAATAACAGGACAAGGGTCAATAACAGGACAAGGATCAAACAGGACAAGGATCAATAACAGGACAAGGATCAATAACAGGACAAGGATCAATAACAGGACAAGGATCAATAACAGGACAAGGGTCAATAACAGGACAAGGGTCAATAACAGGACAAGGATCAAACAGGACAAGGGTCAATAACAGGACAAGGATCAATAACAGGACAAGGATCAATAACAGGACAAGGATCAATAACAGGACAAGGGTCAATAACAGGACAAGGATCAATAACAGGACAAGGATCAAACAGGACAAGGATCAATAACAGGACAAGGATCAAACAGGACAAGGATCAATAACAGGACAAGGATCAATAACAGGACAAGGATCAATAACAGGACAAGGATCAATAACAGGACAAGGATCAATAACAGGACAAGGATCAATAACAGGACAAGGATCAATAACAGGACAAGGATCAATAACAGGACAAGGATCAATAACAGGACAAGGATCAATAACAGGACAAGGATCAATAACAGGACAAGGATCAATAACAGGACAAGGATAAGGAAGAAGGCACAAAAAACTATTTGGATGCAGCAAGAAATGCAGCCCGCGGAAATTCAATTTGGTAGACGTCAGCCAAAGGTAACCTCTCCAGGCCGGTTCGCATCCCCAGCCTATCGCACAGCAAACGCCCCCTTCCAATCACCCATACCGGCCAGGCAGCCGCTTAAAAGTGGAGAAACTCCCACTTCACTGCCTCCCGAAGCCTTGCAAAGAGTCGTTCTGGAGGAATCGCTTTTGTCTACTCACGCTTACTCCTGCAGTCCCCGCTGTCCTCTGTCTTGCTGCGTGTGGTCTGCTCTTCCTCCGCGTCGCTGCTCCTGCTGCGGGTCTCGTGCTGTGGTCCGTGGGTCTTTGCCGCTCTCCTCCTTTGCGGGCTCTTTCTGCGGGTTCGCCGCTGCTCGTCTCGTCGCGGCCTGCTGCTGCATACGGCCGGTCTGGACCGGTGCGGTGGGAGCCGTGCGCATCCCTGCCTCCTTGTGCCGGTACGGTGTGGTCCCGTCGTGTTGTCCCTCGTCTTCTGGCGTTGTGGGTAAGTATGCTGACCTGCGGACGGTTTATTCCCCTCGCTTTGTACTGCAGGCTCAGTTTGCCCCGCGCTTTGTACTGCAGGCTCAGTTTGCCCCGCGCTTTGTACTGCAGGCTCAGTTGGCCCCGTGCATTGGTGGGCAAGCTTCAGTTTAAAGCCCTCGCATTGGTCTGTAGGCTCTCTTTAACCAAGCTCCATTTAAATCCTTCACTCTGACTGCAAGCTCCGTTTATTCCTCACATTGGACTGCAAGATCTCAGTTTAATCCCTCACATTGGACTGCGTGCTCTCAGTTTTAATCCCTCACTTGGCCTGCAGGCTCTCTTTAAATCCCTCTCTGGACTACGAGCTCTGTTTAAATCCCTCTCTGGACTGCAAGCCCCGTTTAAATCCCTCTTGGACTGCGGCTCCCAAATTGAATCCCTCACATTGGACTGCGAGCTCTCAGGTTAATCCCTCACGGATCTGCTTATATCCGGAACTGCTTATATCTGGAACGCTTATATATAAAAATAAATAAATATAAATAAATATAAATAAATATAAATATAAATAAATATAAATAAATATAAATAAATATAAATAAATAAAAATAAATAAAAAAAACTAAAAAAACTGCAGGCTCCGTTGGATCCCTCACACTGGACTGTAAGTTTCGATTTAAACTCCTCACTTGGACTGCGGGCTCAGTTAATCCCTCACTTGGACCGTAAAACCTGTTTAAATCCCTCACACTGGACTGCAGCTCTCGGTTTAATCCCTCACTTGGACTACAAGCTCTCAGTTATAAATCCCTCTTTCAGGACTGCGGGCAATGTTGAATCCCTCACTCTGGACTACAAGCTCTCAGTTTAATCCCTCACCTCGGACTACAGGTCGTTTAACTCCCTCACACCGGACTGCAGGCTCTCAGTTAAACGCCTCACTTGGACTGCGGGCTCAGTTTTAATACCTCACTTTGGACTGCAAGCTCTATTTAAATCCCTCACATTAGACTGCAAGCTCTGTTTAGGTCCCTCGGCGTCTCGTGTCCCACAACCTCTTCCCGGCTCTCCGTGAGCCCCAAGTCGGCACGCGGCTCGGGCGCGGGAGGTGTCCGTGGGCTACGTCATTGGCCCCTTCTCTCCGTCCCGCTCTAACCCGATGGGCATCGCCACCCGCAAGCACTCCAGGAAGAAGCGTCTCATACTCGTCCTCTCCTGTCCCCGCTCCGGGCCCGCCCGAGCATCAACAGCCCCTTCCCTCCAGCGCCCTTCTCCCTGCAGTCCGCTACCGTGGACCACGCGATCAGGCTGATAAAGACTTTCGGCCCCGGCTCCTGGCTCTCCAAGGCCGTCATCCCGGACGCGTTCAAGCTGCTGCCATCCACCCCGACCACTGGCGCTGTTCAGGGGTCAAGTGGCGTCGGAGTTCTTCTTCGCAGTGCGCCTCACCTTTGACTGCCGGAGTAGTCCCTCTCGTTCAACAATCTCTCGGAGGCGCCGTGTCGGATTCTGCTTAATTACGCGCGGCTCCCCTCTGTCTGCATCTCCCCGATGATTCCCTCGTAGTCAACCCACCCTCAGACTGCTCCGGGGGCTCTCTCCGCAAGCTCAGGCCCGCCTTCTCTGCCCTCGGATTCCTCCACTCCGGAAAGACCACAGGCCCCGCCAACGCTCTGGAGTTTCTCGGCATCCGCCTCGGCATCCGCCTCGACACACGCGCCATGGAGGCCTCCCTCCCGCTGGACAAGCTCAAACGCATCCGCGCTTTCTCCCGGTCTGCCTTGGCCTTCCCGTCACTTCGAGGCGTCCTTGCTCTCCCTCCTCGGGCATCTTAATTATGCCGTCTGTATCATTCCCCAAGGTCGTTCTTTTAATTCCAGACTCCTCTCCCTCGCCGGCTCTGTCTCCTCCCTCAATGACGCTGTCTGCCCGGACGCGGGGCGCCGCTCCGACCTGGCGTTCCGGTCCCGTCTGCAGAGCCGCTGGGATGGTGTATCTCTTTTTTTTTTACAGTGACATCTTCCTGTCTCAGATGCTCCGCGGTTCTTCACGGACGCAG